GAGGCTTTAACAAGGATAGTAGTGCAAAACACCCAAAAATATGTGGAAAAAACACTTGTTTAGAATAGACCATCTTGTTAAGGAATGTGAGAGGTGAGACTATGTCCGTAGAAGAGAGAATGTGAGAGGTGAGACTCTATTTGTAGAAGAGAGAATGTGAGAGGTGGAATAAAGAATTTAAAAGGTTTAGCATATTATATAAGAATAATTTGATTGTCATTTTTGTATGGGTCACTTCGCAAATGGCTCTATACTTAAAAAATCGAAACCAAATGCATAAAACCTTGTTTGTGACGTACCCATAAAAGGAAGTAAATTAATTATTTCTTTCATTATTACAAAATGTCACCAACTTTGTAGGTGTGACATCTCAGTCTAACCCAAAGCCTCTGATAGGCATATTACGATAAGAAAAGTTTTAATAAAAAGGTTAAATGTAATTAGAAAACGTTTCATAAGAAAAGTTTAAAAACGATTCTGTTTTTGTGATGTGAAACGTAGGAAAAATATATTAGGAAGTTAGAAAGTAGTAGGAAAAGAAATAAGATAAAACAGTTTGGAAAAATTAAGGATAAAAGAAACATGAATGTGAGAAGTGTTTGGAGATTTCCATAAAAAAACAGAATTCTGATTTGTGCGCTTATGTCTAGGTGCGCAACATTCATAAAACGTTGGGCTTATATGCTACTGTTTGGTTAGTATTTGAAAGCACCAAGGTATGTGTAGGCGGTATTACCTAATGTGACTATTGGCTAGTGTATGGAATTGTGATGTGTTGCTCACATTTGTTCTATGTATGTTATGATGATGATGAGCCAATGGTAAGAATATGAAAGGATGATATGATATATGCATGCATTTTACATCATAATACATTTTTCTGTTGGGTGCGATTGCATAACATGGCATGTATACTTGATTCGTGACATCTTGAATATATATATATATATATATATTTGTATTGATGACATGTGACTGAGCATGCATCATATAGGTATGCCTGGTACCAGGAGAGGGGACACTTGGCTTCAGTCCGCATAGGTTCCACAGTGGGATTCACCTTCATGGGAGCCATTAGGAATACCCACTGTGATGCTACGCGCACGACAGTGCTATGAGCGTAAAGGAAAAAGGGCGTTATATACGCGTTATGATATATGATGAAAAGGATTAAATGTTTGAAGTGACTATTTAAGATTTTGTGCCTAGTTAATACTGTTGCATTTGGTTTTGTTGCCACACTACTGGGTTTATTCTCACCCCTTTGGGGCTGCAATTTTTAAATTGCAGGAGGACGTAAAAGCATTTGAGGACTTGGATGTTGAACTCTGTTATATTTTTGCTGCTGTCTGGATTTATTCACTGTTGACTGTTTTAAGCTTGGGATGACTGTATTATGTGGTACTTGATGATTTTTGGATGACTGTAAAACTATGACTTATTTCTGCTTTAAGTCTTTTTATGAACAGCGGCTGCTTTAAGAAATCTGAAATGTTTTGCGAAAAAGGGACTTTCTTAACGTTTATCAAATGCTGAATTTTTAACGATTTACGGACAACTTACGAGTTATGTTTCGAGGGGCAAATGAACTCTGATTTACTATTATTTTATATGCACGCGAAGCCCCAAGCGTCTACTTTCAGATTTTGGAAACCGTACAAAAATATTTTGAAAACTCGATTTGATATTGATGTTGTACACGAACTGTTTTTGGGAAATTTCCAACTTTGCAAACAGCAAGGTTTTTACAAAGTTTTATCAAGAAAATCTTATTAGCTTTCCACTTTCATCACTCAAGGATATTTTAAAAGAAAAAGTTCGCTACTAAATTCTGCAACTCTAATAACAATTAGCAAACGACTCTCTTGGATGCATACAAGGGAGGGTGTTGGTTGATATTATGGAATATGAGATGTATATCACTTGATTGGTAGTCAGCTAAGGCGACAAGTTAAGACGGTGTGAATTGTAAAGGATAGCATAGCTCCATTAGTTATCAACAGGCTAAGGAAGGAAAACGAAAGTTGTAAAACTAGAAGAGGAAGTGCTGCTATAGCTGGATGACGATGGTGGGTGTGGAAAATTGGGGATAGATTAAGTGAAGATAAAGTTGGAGCACATCGTCGTTCAGGTTGGAGCATCGAAGAAAAAAAGTGAAAATAAAATTTGGTACTATTTACCGTCAGGTTGGAGAAAATAGGTTGTGCTTGATCTATGTTATGTTATGTTTTTTTTAAGATACATAATATATTTTTATTACATGAGTTATTGTTGTATAACAACTCCTCTATAGGATGGAGATTTGGGTTACTTCGTATCTCATGCAATCATATTATAAATTTTTTGTTGGAGGTTAAAGATGGTAATTCAACTTTTTGGTATAGAATGCTTCTACATTACACAATAATCATTATACAAGCTTTACAAAGTCGATACATACAAAAGATATGTTACTTGCGCAATAATCATCATACAAATCTTACATTTTTCCAAAAACAAAAAACCAATCTAATCCAAACCGAATAAAATTGGATTGGATCGGATCGGATTTGAAAAAAAATTCAAACCGAATGGATGATTACATGATTAAACCGAAGGGATTGGATCAGATGCTTTTTGTTACTAAAATCGATCCTATCCAGACCGCGAACACCCCTATATATATATATATATATATATATATATATATATATATATATATATATATATGATTGTCGGATGAAGCACCTAAGGTTTGGTGTAGTTATATGGGTAAAGGTTTTCTCTAGTCAATGGAGATAAGTTATCTCCAGTGAACCCAAAACGACGTCGTTTTGGGACAGAAATCAAGGTGTTTTTGTAATTATAATATATTACAGGGTTATATTAGTCTTTATCATTATAATTTTGTAACCCCAAAACGACGTTGTTTTGAGCTCAATGAATATAATTTTATCTCCGGTGACTGGAGAAATATTTTTCCCTAGTTATATTATATACTAGAGCCGGCAAAACGGGCTCGACTCGGCGGGTCAACCCAACAAACAGGGCGAGACGAGCTAAGTTTTTCAGCCACTTTCAAAAGCGGAGCAAGCTGATTCCTTTTTAGGCGGGTTGATGGCGGGGTGGGACGGGTCGCCCACTTTGCCACATCTATTATATACTAGAGGTAATACATAATATATTTAGAAATTTAACTATGTACTATGCATAGTACATTATTTCTGAATAAAGAAAAAAATCATGTACTACCTAGATTTTTAAAATTTAAATCATTTCCATGTCAAAGGAATGAACTCTTACCTCCTTCTATGGGAATGATTTGTGAGAATATCTAATTAATAACAAATTGAATCTTAATTGATTATAAATCAAATCAGAAAACTTAAAAATACAACATAAAAAATCAAAAAAATTCGTAGCTAGACAAAAAAAATACGCACTTTAAAGGTTAGAGAATAAAATTAATAGACCATCTATTATCATTGTTTAAGATTAAATATCTTTATGACTGTTTATCAAAAAAAAAAATATCTTTATGACTAAAACATTAGTATGTGATAATGCAAAAAGTTTAATTGGAAGAATCCGAAGTAAATGTTTTAAACCCGAACTAATTTAAATTAAGCATTAGGAGAGTGAATGATTAAGGATTTGACCAATTTGTATGAGGTTGTTATAGTTTTTTTTTTCTTTTTTCTGGACAGAGTAACAGGAAAAGAAAAACCCAAAACAAAACTAGGAGGCACACATTCTTGGGAGACCCACTCCCATGGTGTCATTAAGCAATAAGGTTACTCAGATCCGAGACCCGTGAGTGATGGGTGTGTTTGATTGTGTTATTTTTTTTTTTTTTCATTTGAATAGATATATATGTGTTTCTTTAAAAAAATTTATTTTAGACTTCTAAATAAAATTTTATCACGTGTAACCCCTCATGATTTTTTTAATGTATAGTAAATTTAAAATATTTTTATAATATTATTCAATTTTGTAAAAAAATATTTCTGCATTCAATTTTATCTTATAATTTGTATATAAGGTTGACTAAATTTATAACTTGAAAAATGTCAAATGCTGAGATGACGTAACAAGTTATTGAATGTAACTGTATATAGAAACTTTTTTATACCTACAATCTTCGTATATTCAAAATAATCTGTATATTCAAAATCCAATACTAAGCCCATTCTTCATTTTACTGCATGTCGCCATGTGCAAATGTCACAGTGCTCAAAATTATATATGACTGATTAATTAATATAATATAATTTTAAAAAATTATTGAAAAAATATTTAACTATTTTTTATCATTCTAACCTCATAAAACTAAAAGAAGGATTAGCGTGTTGGGTCCCCTAATGTCGCCATGTGTAAATTAATATATTACAGTTCGAAATTATGGTTGAATAATTAATATAATTATATAATTTTAATTTTTTTTGATTATTTTTAATCATTCCAACCCCAAAAGTAATCGAATCCTACACCTATACTCACTTTCTCTTTTTAAAATTATATTATATTCATCAGTCAGCAAATATATAGTATATCTTTCAAAATACCTAATTTTTCTGAGACTGCTTCCAATTTCATGCCATTTCCAACAAATATTTGACTCATTGGAAAGCATTTTCCATTCTCCAGTCAACAACGTTTATCTCCTCTTAATCCTCATTCCTTATATATTATTATATCATGCCATTATTGCAGCAAATATTGTCCCACTGGAAAGCATTTTCCATGCTCTAGTCAACAAGGGATACTTCCTTTCAATCCTCATTTCCTATTGTATAATATTACATCCCTCACCCTCACCCTTATATTTAACCCTTCAATCTTCATACATTATTCACCTTTCTAACTCTCTCTCTCTCCCTACGTCAATTTAGGTAGCTCATTTTTTTTTTTTTGTGTAAATGGCAGGGTGTGATCATATATATGACAAGTCCCTAGGCCTTATGTTTTGTATGATACCATTGTTGCTTCTTAGCTTATCATTCTTATCCTATGCACTAGCAATGGAATTTCAAGTTGGCGGTAAAGATGGTTGGGTGGTGAAACCTTCCGAAGATTATAATCACTGGGCTCAAAGACATAAGTTTCAAGTTAATGACATTCTATGTGAGTCCTATATTAACTCAATATTAATTTTATCTTTACATAGAAATAAGGATTTATAAAAGGGTTATTATATTTATGTTATATTTTTTATGCATGCAGATTTTAAGTACAAGAAAGGGAATGATTCGGTCCTGGTGGTGAAGAAAGAGGATTATATTTCGTGTAACATCAATAATCCCATTCATAAAATGGATGATGAGAATTTAACTTTTCTTTTCGACAGGTCGGGTCTCTTTTTCTTTATTAGTGGCAACATGGACAACTGCAAAAATGGTCAAAAGCTTAAAATTTTTGTCATCGCCGTAAGAGACACACTTCCTCATGCTACACCACCGTCCCAATCATCGGTGAGTGTCCCAAATGGACATGGAGAAGGGGACGGTGGAGGCTGGAGTGGAGGAGTGAACGATAACAATATATGCCCGATATGTTGTCCCGTTGCACATTATTGCACCTGTTGCTAAAGGAAAACCACATAAACTAGATGGAAGTGCATCCATGTAGCAACTAAATGTAAGAAATAATAAATAAGAAATAAAGATTGGACTCTATTCTCTATGTCATAGGTTGAAAAGTCAACTTTCAACTGTCCATGTAGCTTACAGATATATGTGCCAATGCCAGTAAGTTCTGACAGATTCAAAAAAAAATATTACAAGCTCATCAAACTATGAAATTAAAATAAATGCTAATGTTTCAAAAATGAACTATTGGATAAATACCTTTCCTCTCAATCATTTTATGATTTTTATGGGTGCTTTATAGTTAATTTTATTGGTTCTAATTAAAAGATCTAAAATGTTTTATTTGACAAATTTTTTGTAATAATTATGCTAAGTAATTTATTTTATTTGATAAGATTTGACATAAAAGATAATGATATTACTACTATCTCAACCAAATCGCGATGCAATGCTAGAAAAATCATTTTTGTCAAAGAAAGCTTGTCTTTCAAAACAGAAATTGATTCGGGTGGGGATTACGAGTAGAGAAGTTGTGAGCATTCTACATAATCCATTTTTTAAAAAATGGTTACCTTGAATTAAGTGCACAAATTATTAATAAAATTTTCAAAATATTTGTCTCATCCCAAAAAATTGAATTAAATAGAATTTGTTATTTATGAAGAAAACAAAATTATGAAAAATTATTTTTGGGTTCGACGGGAAAATCTCGCTTTGATGTATCCCTCGGTGCAATAGAAAACCTTCTTTAAAAAATATTTGTTTGTTGGTTAATTTAATTAGAAAAGAGTTTGAAAGATATTATATATATTATTTTAAAAAAAGGAATCTATCACTGTTCAGAATTTAAGATAGCCCAATTATTGCTTACTACACTTGAGGATGGTGAATGTAAACAGCTACTAGAACTTAAAATTTAGAAGTGAATCATTGGACCACTTAAAATAAAATTTTGAATTTGAGGGATTTTGAAAATATTTTATTTTGAAATAACTTCACATTGCGCAGGATATAAGGTGGCATGCATGTACGTGTTTCCTTACGAAACATACAATACTACGCCCATTCTTCATTTTACTACTTGTCGCCATGTGCAAATGTTATACTGTTCAAAATTATATATGACTGATTAATTAATATAATATAATTTTAAAAAAATAATTTGTAAATTAATGTAATATAGTTCAAAATTATGGGTGAATAATTAATATAATTATATAATTTAATTTTTTTTATTTTTAATCATTCCAACCCCCACAAAAATGATCTAACCTCCAAATGATACCTAATTGATCATTTTCTTAGAAATTTCGACGGCATCTCCTTTGTTTTCTTAACTAATTCCCATTTACTCCAAGTGTGTTCTAACCTCCAAATGATACCTAATTGATCAAGGGTGGCACACAAGGTTCAACATACCTTAGTGCTCTTACAACCCACAATATACATTTACTCAACTCATTGTTTAATCCACAAGCTATCATTCACCACTTAATCAGTTTACAAATTGTTAATCATTTCAATCACATAATCTCATTTACATGCATTTTCCATAATTGAACAACACCATTACCTAAAATAGGCCTATTATCCTTCCATCGCATACATTCATAATTGATTACACAAGATCCTCAATATATTAATTAAATTTAAATCCACTAACAAATATAATTATTACATCATGATACTCAAAAGAATAATAAATACATCATCACTAAACTTAGCCCCAAAATGCTATATGAATAAACCCAAGGCATGGTACATATCTCTCATGCTATACTACATGTTCATGCAGTAAGTCTAGCATACCAAATGAAATCTCAAAATACAAAAGATGCAAAATAAGCATGGTGCACTCCAATGACTCTACTCCAATCACCCAATGCGCCTCTTGCCCAACACTCTTGCGGCACTGCTAGATGAACCTGAAATATAGTCCCATAACACGGGGTGAGATATACGAATATATCTCAATAACCCAAAGGTTCTAGAGGATTACTCCGTCCAATGGCTCACTTAGATGTACAGTAGGAATAATACATATAAATAGAACATGCAAAACAATACGGCAATACGAGATATGGCATACGGCAATCTCAATCGGGTCCACATCCAAGAATATAACCCCAAGATATAATTCAATGTACTCACAACTATAACTCCCAAGATATTCCTAGAATGCTCCTCAACGGATAATGACTCTATGGCATCCGGCCAACTGGAACTCCCTACGGAGGCCTCTCCAGTGGAAATCCCTTATGGAAAATACAACAATAATCTACTGGCCAGAGATACAGGTATAATCACACACATATCAAACAACATCCACAGTGCATGATCATATTATAACAATATTATTACATTCAACAACTTTCAATCACTACTCTAATGGGCATGGTGGAGCACACTTGTTTTTTGTCTTGGTTTATAGTTGTCATGTGTTGGGGGTCCTTTACCTATGTTTTAGTTGTATTAAGCATTGACATTTCCTGGATTCAGAGATATAGGTATGACATGAGTCTACTTGGAATTTGTTTGTAGATATGGTGAAACTATCTATTAGTTTTATCTTTTTAGATAATTAGTTTTATTTATAAATACTTTTATTTGCAATATCATTCTTTTTTTTGCATTACATGGGAATTGAACACACACCACTACACTACATACACCTAGCACGCACACCCCACACCACTAGGCTAATCCTAATGGATATTTGCAATATCATTCTAATTAGGAATGTAAATGGATTGAATTAGTTGAGTTTGATTTGTTAAATTTTCGATCAGTTTTATCTTTTTTACTAAACAAAGAAGCTTAAAACTTTATTTTAAATTCAATTATCTAAACAAACCATGCTTAAAACTTGATTTTAAATACAAATATATATATATATAAATAAACCATCTTATTTCAGTTATTTATTTATTTATTTATTTATTTATTTATTTTATGAACTTAAGAGGTATCCCACTCAAGTCAACTTGTTCTTGAAGTAGATGATGTATTAAAGTAAAGATAGGGTAAGGTAATCCCCTGAGATTTGATTTTGCCTCTAGCCCGAAAAAACCTTTTTAAAGATTGAAAGAAATTGTGACCCAATCTTTAATTCAGTCCATTTGACATACATTTGTGTCTTGTTTACACGCAACTGCGGAGGATGAAACTGAGACAGCGGTTGCCAATCTTGCGGCGACATAGGCTGCAAGGAGGCCCGATTTCTTTATCTTGGAGTGTTTGGCTGCCTAGAAAATCTGAATGTGTTTTCTGGGAAAATCGGAGAAAAGAGAGAAAATTAAGGAGCACGTTGTTTGGGCGGGTTTGACCAAACAAGCACGGACACACACTTTTTTTTAATTTGTGCGTATCGGACACCGACATGTTCCAACACGTTCCGACACATGGTCAACAATTGGGACACGCGGTCAACACTCCGACACGCTTTTTCGACACGCAATCAACTTTTTTCAACACGCGTTCAACGTTCCGACACGTTTTCGACACTTTTTTTTTTAGGTCTAAATTTTATTTATTTTTGGTATCCTATTTTATTTTATTAACTAAACATAAAAAAATAATTTATAAATCAATTTTTTCTGTTATGAAATTTGACATGAAAAATTAACAAGGTACGAAAAATTATTTTTGTTTATATTTATGTTATAAAATTTAAGTATTTGATTGTTTATAGGGGTGAAACTGGGTCGGGCCAGCCTACAGGGGCCTACGGCTCGGCCTACATTAGGCTAGACTTGACTTAGTATATTTTGTATAATAGGCCGGGCTCTGGCCTTAAAAAAAGTCTGTTTAATAAAAAGGCCGTAGGCCCACTTTCAAAAGATCGGGCCTATAAGCTTACAGGCCGGCCTATATTGTACTATTTATTTTAAATAAAATAAAATATAATAAGTATGCCTTGAAGGGAAAAAAAAAAGATATAAATTTAATCAATTGCAACTATTTATAACTTAATTATATTTGATTATATTTTAATAGAAATCTTACTTTATTTCTTATATAGAAGGAACCAACATCTCAACATGTTAGATTGTGTATATGAATATATTAAAGATTTTTGGGAGAGGTTATTCTTACTACAAGCATCATGATGTGTTTGTTGGATTCATGTAATTATTGTAATTTACATAGTATGGATTTGTTTGTTGGATCTGATGAAATATATGTTATTTAGTTTGAGCATTTTGCTTTTGAAAATGACTTAAATGTATATTGTATGAGTTCTGTTATGATTCATGATTCTGTTTGGACGTTGAAATCATTTTTGGTGTAGCAACAGAATTTGAGTACTTTGTAAAGTTGATTCATGGTTCTGCTTGGAAGTTAAAAATTAACAGGCTAACGGGTCAAGTCAGGCCATTTGTTTTTTTATAAACGGGTCAAACCAGGCTAACAGTTAGACTCATACTAGACTTGGGCCAGGCCAAATTAAAAAATTTTGACGTAGGCTTGGGCTTTTCGGGGCAAAGCTTGACCCAGGCCAGCCCACTTTCACCCCTAATTGTTTATATGACTTATTATGGGTTGTTATATGTATTAGATATAAATTATATTATATATATTAAAAATATTATTTAATATCAAAACGTGTACCAATGTGGCGAAATATGACATTTTTTAAAATTAACAAGTCGACGTATTGTGTCGTGTCCTGTGTTCCGTGTCAATGTCGGTGTATCATAGGATTTGACGGCTTACATATCGAACTGATGATGGAAAACACTAGGAAGATGAACCAGTGACCTATATCATCCAAAAATGTTGCATGTGAGGACCAAATAAAGAAGAAAGAAATTCAATAAAATGACGGGGAAGGATATTGTAACAACCAAGTTGTGTTACTATCATGTTACTACCAATCAATTTCACCGTTAGATCCATTATGTTGATCCAACAGTTATAATTATTTTCATCTTTGTATAGTTATGATTCTCCATATTTAAAGTGAAAGCATTAAATATGGAAAATCATAACCATACAAAGGTGAAAATAAATATAAGATATTAAATTTGGGAAATCATGACCATATAAAGATGAAAATAAATATATTCGTTGGATCAATATAATCGATCTAACGGTGAGATTGATTGATAGTAACATGATTGTAACATAACTTGGTTGTTACAATATCCTTCTCCTAAAATGATATGTTAAATTCAAAAAATGTAGGCGTCTCCATTGTTTAAGCTAAAGCTAAAAAGAAAAAAGAACTTTATCAAGCAGTTTGACAATCTAAAGTTAAAAAAAAAATTTAAAAAATAAAGTTACAATAATTATTAGCTTAAAAATTAAATAAATATTGTTCATTTCTAACTTTTAAAAAGCTCCATTTGGAAACTTCTGACTTTTATTTTTTTTATTATAAAAAGTTCTTTTAATTATAAAATATTTTGTAAAAATTTATTTACTAACTTTTATTAAAAAAAAAAAAAAAAAAAAACTAAAAAAAAATTTCGAAAGCGGCCACTAAGAATCGAAACCAGAAAATAGACATCGATTTAATTGAAATTAGTGAAAATTGAATCAAAGCCATTGGATCTTTGCCAGCCTGACAACAAAAAACGCTTCATTCCCACCACTATTCCTGCAATGTCTCAACCTTTTCCCTCTCTGTACCTCTCTCTTCATCTCTCCAAAACCAGAAAAAAAGAAGGAAAAAGAATAATTAAAATCAAAAGGGTGAGAGTGAAAGAGAAAAATGGGTTCAAATGCCTTCTTCTCTTCCATTCTCTATTTCTTCTTCCTAGCCACATTGGTCTCCGCTTCCCCATTCCTTTCTGGTAATTTTTTTTTTTAAATCATAAAATGTGTCACACTCAATGATGGGTATATTCATATTTGTTAAATTGACTTAATGTGATTGAATTTATGGTGACACAGATGACATATTTGATTCTGGGGTATCAACAGGACGTGCCCTCCTACAGGCTAAAAAAGGTAACACATTTTTCTGCCTTAACCTTAAATCTCTGTAATGTTTATAAATCATCAATGGGATTTTCCTTTCAATTCAAATGGGACAATCATAATGTAAAAAAAAAAAGTACCCGAAATTGTGAATCAATCGTTAGGGTTGTTTCAACTTAATCGGTGATTGAGTTCGAGTCCTCTTTTTATCTTTCTGTTTTCCCTTGAAAAAATCATTTCTTTTGTTGGTTTATGCTTCTTATACATTTTCTTTATATGGGTGATATCCATGTAGAAGGATTGACTATGATAATGAGTAGTGAAGCTTAAAATAAAATGTTGAGGAAGCCGTATATTAAATCTTCAAAATCATATTATTTTGCAAAAAAATCAATCTTCCACCTTTTCATATAAAAATGTTCATAACAAATACATAACTGTTGGCCCAAAAATGACCCCTTGGTATAAGGCAATAAGTATGCAAAACTTGATGATAATGGGTAAGCATAAACAAGGGGATTAAGTTCTTAGCTCACTTAGCCCCTTAAATTATTAAGTCTTTATTCTCAGCTCTTTTTGTCTCATTAGGTTCTTTTACTTCAATTTTGTCCTCTTCCTATTACCTTATTTTCAATAGTTCTCAACTTCATCCTCAAGCTTTCGTAGTTCACCACAATTGAATTAAGAAATCCTTACCCGGAAATGGATTTATCGAAATTAAACCCCATCTTCTCGACATAAAAGTTTATATATATATGTATGCAGACAATATCAGTATTTATCACTTTAGTAACCATAATACGCCTCTGTCATACTTAAAATTAGCCATTGATGAGAATGTCCATATCAGAATAGATATAATAAAGATAATATGTGCTCTTTGAACCTATTAGCCAAGCAAACTTATTTTCATGATCCCTTAGAAGTTTTCAATGTGGAAAGTGTACAATTTTATGGAATATCTGGATAGTTTTTAATTTTTATTCTGAATTGATATATTTTTATTCTCAATGAAAACTTTTGTGTCCCAAATTGTGCAGCATGTGGAGTTAACTTTGAGAACCAGAACTACACAATCCTCACAAGCCAATGCAAAGGACCACAATACCCACCAAAGGTTTGCTGTGAGGCTTTCAAGCAATTTGCATGCCCTTTTGCTGATCAGATTAGTGACATGACAACTGATTGTGCATCAGTTATGTTTAGTTACATAAATATCTACGGGAAATACCCTCCTGGCTTGTTTGCTAATCAATGCAAAGAAGGGAAGGAAGGTCTTGATTGCAGTGAAGTGAAGCCATCCAATAGTTCTGACACTTCCAACACCTTTCATGTGGCTGCTCCTTCCTCTATGCTGCTAATGACCACAGCTGGTTTCCTGGGCTTCTTATTCCATTTCTTCTGATGGCTCAAAATGTGAAAAAAAGAAAAGAAAAAACCTTTTGTGTATTAATTGAATCAATTCTCTAAAATAGTCATTCCAAGCATATTGAGTGAGGATCCATCTTTCATGTGATGCTATAGTTTGTATTTTATGATCAAGATCACCCATATGAATATATTATTATAGTTTTATCTTTCTGTTTTACCTTTTTTTTTATGGCTACAAAGTACAAGCTAAGGTTTTCTTGCCTGCCCCCTCTGGTTTTCTTACTTGGCAACCACTGTAACGAGTAAATTAGCAATTTAGTTCTAAAAATTATTTTAATTCACCATTTGGTATCTACGTGTAAATGTTAGTTCTTAAATTTATAAAACAAACAAGGATGTGGAGGTAGGTCATTCATCATGCATTTTTGATGTAATAGCTTCGAGCCATTGAAATTGAAGTGGCCAAATCGATTGTGCCACAGCCAAGACATGTCTAGTTGTGTCTTCATGGCTATGTCTTTTGCATATTGCCCTTGTATTGGGAAGTTTTGGTTCTTCATTTGTAGTCTGGCTATTGCTAGGTTTTCGTTTTGTGGGTGTCTTTGAATGTATCACCTTAGATACATTTATGAAAGACGTTTAATTTCATTATGTTGCTATCAAAATGACACGACAAGTAAGCAGCAACATTATTTATTTCAAGTGTGGACTATTTTAAGGCCTGTCACAAATCCGAATTAGATTTGATGACCTCTTGAGTATATAGTATAATGTTATAAATTTTCAACCGCCCAACAGCCCCGAAAACTTATTATTATTATTTTTTCAGTATGCAGTGCATCTGTTTCAGTTTCAATGGGAAAAAGACATCTGCAGTTAAAAAAATAACTATATGTTAAGCAATAATCCATCGTATGTCTACACGTGTTTTGCCACTTTAATCATTTACATTTTACAAGAATTCAGACAATTTTTTTTTACTAAGGATATTCTACAGTTATTTTTTAAAAAAGAAAACAGTAGACGATCGAATGCCGTTCAATGTTCTTTCCCAACCACATGGTATTTCATATAGTCCTTACGAGAAACATCATCACATTCAAACAGTGGTGGATCGAGGCGGAAGGGACAATCACCGGCAAAAAAATTTAAATTTTGTAAAATACTATTTCATATAAATTTTGATATCAAGTAAAAAATGGTTTCAGCTGTTAGGAAAAAAAATTTATATTATAGTCTCCAATAAATTTGAACATTATTAGTGATTGCCCCTTTGAAATTCAAAAAAATATTTAATTGCGAGTACAATATATTTTTTGATCATACAAATAATTAAATTTAAAGAATATACATTTTAATTTCATCCCTGAAAATTTTATAGCTCCATCATTACATTCAAGAATGGATCACCATGACTCAAATGGTCCAGGGGCCTATCCAATGTTCAGCTAACGTGTAAAGCTTCAACAAAGTGTTGGTGAGGGACCTATTGTAAAACTCAAAACATCTCAAAACAAATGTGATCTGAACCTATTACAGGGGAAGGGTTCAAATAAAAGAACAAGGTGCCATCTCATCATCCACGATAAGTTTGATCACCCAACTCTGAGGGTTCTTCTTGCAGTTTTAGAGCAGTAACATCTAGAGCAGTAACATCTAGAGCAGTACGAGGCTCTCTAATTCATAGTTTTAGATAATTTAAGGCACAGAGATTATGCATAATCAATATTCACAATCACATATCAATTCAAGATGTTTATTGTTTTGCTGTACCTGAGATCCACCAATTAAAGTTGCTAATGGCTATTGTAACTTGTAAGTCACTCAACAAATTTTCACTCTTTAGTAGTCAGTCAGACTTGTATGAGTTACAATCATCATGCTCATTCTTGGAACAACCAGTCTACAGATTACAGAATTTATTACACATGAAGATATATGCACAGGAACACACTAGATTTCAAGAGACTCGAGCCTTTATACACTCCCTGCCTCAATCCCACAACATTAACACCAACATCAACAGCACCTTTAACCCAAGTTAATTGGGGTCGGTGGTAGATGAACCGAATGCCTGCCTCAATCCTACAATTACGACAAAATTTACACAGCATCCAATTTTATGTTAGCCTAAAAGACAAAAGCTCTTACCATCATAACTGGAAAAATAACTATATAAGAACATGATAACTATAGAAGTTGAAGCTGCACCAAAAAATAACTTGCACATATCTCAGCAGTTCATAATCGACAATCAATACAAAAAGTCCACAATTGCGTCCGAATTTTCATCTTTAAAAAGAGTAAAGTGAGATAATCCACCAAGTGTCCAATGATATCAAATGCAAAGACCATGGCAAAAGCAACAACAATTATGTGCCTTACAATACCAAGGTATTGAAGCAATCAGTTTCTTCAAGCTCAAAGTAGTCCCGGAGATCACACATTACTATAATCTCCAATAGAACAAGAAGTATCTTTTAATCTAATTGATGTTGCTCATAACCATATAATATTCAAGCTGCACTTAGAGATCCTCCAATCAAAGTCAATAATAACTCAAGCAGCATAACCATTCTATTCAATGATTAGTTAAGTTACCTTAGAGGGCATCATTAAGAACTTCTAATGGAGTCAACAAAACCACTACTGAGAAGCCTCTCAACATACTTGCCAACAATATCCACCTCAAGATTCACTTTTTGCCCAACCTTCTTCAAAGGAATCACGATCTTCTGCTGAGTGTAAGCCACTAACATGAAATTGAAACACCCTTCATCATCAAACACATCCCCCACAGTCAAACTAGTCCCATCCACAGCTATAAACCCTTTAGGCACAATATACTTGAGCAAATCCTTCTCAGCCTTCACCTTCACCCACAATGAATCAACTTCTGGAACCATGGATATGATCACCCCCGTGCCATCCACGTGACCCTGCACGAAATGCCCACCCATTCGGCTCGTTGGTGTCACCGCCCTTTCCAGATTCACCACCGACCCAGGTTCCAATTCCACCAGAGAAGTCTTCCTCAGCGTCTCCGGTGACAGCCCCACCGTAAAGTCGGAAACTTTGACGTCGAACTCCGTCACCGTCAGGCACGTGCCGTTGACGGCGATGCTGTCACCGAGGTTGACGCCGTCTAAAACGGTCTTCGCCTCGATCTTCATGTCGAAACCGCCGTGAGAGGCGACACCCAGTTGCTTGATTGTGCCCATTTCTTCGACGATGCCGGTGAAGAGGCATTGCACGGTGGCGTTGTTGCGGCGGTGCTGTGTGGGTTGGCGCGTGAGGGGAATGAAGGCGCGTAGAGGGGAAGGTCTGGTAATGAAGTTGAATCTGAGATGGGTGATTTGGGAATCGCGGAAACTACTATGCGTTGCAGCGATTCTTGGGGTTCTGGATGTTAAGGTTAAAGATGATGAAACAGCCATTTTCGTTGTGTTTCACTGTTTGGGTTGCACAAGAGTGGTTACTGTAGCAACTAGCAAAAGCTAATTGCAATAGTTAATGCTCTATTAGATTAGATTGTTTGTTAATCTTATTCAAATGCGGATACATCCTTTTTTATGTGGTAGTGTTTTATTGTGAGTGGATTCTGGTGTGTAAATTTTTTTTGTTTATCTGCATTAAATAAATGAAAGTTGGGAAAATAAAAAATTATAAACTACAAAATCATATTTTTCTTTTTTCTTTTTGGATAAAATCATATTTTTCTTTTGGTCCAACTACTTAACTACAAAAACATAACCACCCTCACACAATCAATCATTTTAAATCATGTCTCGTGAAGCAGCAAGCGCTGGAAGCGGCCTAACCTTTGTTGGTTGCTGACCCAATTGAAAGGAAAGCAAAAGACCCAAAAGAAGACAATTAAAATAAGGGGAGAAGGACTATCATTTAAAACGATACAAGTGTGTATTTTTAGATGATTTATATAAAGTATGACCGATTATACTTTGAGTGAATCTAAAAAGTTACTTTTTTTTTTCTCTCTCGCTAACGTATAAAGTGAAGAAAAAAAGGAACTTTTCAAAATTATACAGAGTATGACTAATCATATTCTGTGTAAGTCACTAAAAGAGTCCTTTTGAATGACATAGGCTGAACTTTTAAATAATGTAGCTTGCGCCTAGGTGGGAAATTTTGCACCATTTTTTCCCGAGTACCTTTGTAAATTTCTTGCAAGAATAAAATGAAACTGAAAAGGACATGCAACTAATCTAACTTGTCTGTTTAAACATGAGCGTAGATTATTAAGATAAAAACAGAATTGCTTACATACACTACACAGAATGAGGGACAAAGCAGCAAAACTAGACATAAATTCACTGGACGGTGGAATGAAACAGATTAGAATTTCACCTAACAAAACACAAAGATGTGAGAAATTCAGTGCACTATCCCTTATTTTCCTTCCTAACATCCTAACCCTGGTCCCATTACCCTTATTATCTACCTCAACAACCTGAAAATTCTAATATTCTATCTATTAAATTTAACCTTCCCTTCAACCCATGATTCATTGTGCCTCATTTTCTTTTGAGGGGTGAAATCCATGGCCAAGATTAGAAGATTCTGCCACATTCTGTTAAGGTTCTTGGCCTTCGGGGCAACCCTTTCTGCAGTCATTGTCATGGTTACTAGCCATGAGAGAACTAGCTTTTTAACATTATCCTTTGAAGCAAAATACACTGACTCCCCTGCCTTCAAGTAAGTGTCTTCCAATGTTTGTAATTAATCTTATTGTTTCCTTCATTTGTGAACTGACCAAACATTTCTTACTAGGTACTTTGTGGTTGCTAACTCTGTTGTCACCGTCTATGGATTTTTTGTCCTCCTTCTTCCTGAAGAAAGCTTGCTCTGGCGACTAGTCGTCGCCATGGATCTGGTAAATACCCTGAAACATCCTCATTGAGTTGCTCTACATGCCACTATGCAGTGATGGAAAAAGGAGGGGTTAGAGTAGCAATCACCCCCTTCAAATTTATACGAACCTATATGCTTGGATATTGTTTCTGATATTTCAGTCATATAATTAATAATCTCCTCCTCAAAATGCATACAAAACTTTAGTTATAAGTATTGTTTTTATTTTTTATTTTTTTATATAAATAACTAGTGAATTATCCGTGCGATGCGCGTAGAAAAAAGAACGAAATCGTTGTTGCCATCATTGGTTAATCATGGCAGCAGTAAATCAATATCTTCATCTTGCTATCAAGCTCTGAACGGTACTATGGTGGAGGTATAAACATGAAAGAACAAAAAAAAAATCAAACAAACATGTGACTTGAAAATTATCTAAAATAAAAAAGAATTTTCTTGTTATTTTGTATTATTTTTGAACTTTAAAAGGCTACAGCATTCACACAGAAAGATTGTATTGTCCCCATCAAACACGTAGGTCAACCGATAAGAGTTGTTCTAACTTAATCAGTGATTTCGAATTTGAAAAACGCAACTATGTTAAAATTTAATAAGAAAAATTTTCCCATCCATATAACCCCACCCGATTGAATCAGACTAATTAAGTAATCCATGAAACGATATATAATATAAAAAGAAAATGGCATTGTCCACAAAAATCAAATTATGAAGACCTCGCAGGAAACTATAAAAAGATGGCACACTATACTAAGAAAAATCTTGAATCATGTTAATTACTAAATACTCCATCTCTTTTGACATTGAAGAAAGGAAATCCCACCCCATGTGACCAATACTGTTGAACTTTGAGCTGACATTTTATATGATACATAACTAAACTTACTATTGAATTAGACTATGTATGCAGGAGATACATTAATTAATGGGTTAATTTTATGAGCAGGTATTCACCATGTTACTCATCTCAAGCATCTCTGCAGCTTTGGCAATAGCTCAAGTGGCGAAGAAAGGAAACACCGCTGCAGTTTGGTTACCAATTTGTGATTCAGTCCCCAAATTTTGCAATCAAATGCTGGGAGCTTTAGTGGCTGGTTTCGGAGCAGTTATTATATACATGATTCTTCTCTTGCATTCTATTCACACTGTTCTAGATCCTCTCCTCTTGAGAAAAACTTGAGCAGCTTTTCCAGACCAGCATGTTCCTATTGGGTGTAGAGTTCATAGTCATCCAGAGACTAGAACTATAAGTCGTTGAATTAACAGTTTCTTTCTTCTTTCTTCTTTCTTCCGATATTTTCGTCCATTGGGTACTGGGATTTCGGAAATTTCTTTTTTGTTTAATCATTGCAATTTTTAATTCTCATCATTGTATGTATTATGAAGAAATGAATTATTATGTGTGCATAATATTGTGTAAATCTAGGAAATTTTTTTGGAAGATCTGAATAAGTAAAATATAAAGATGTTTGTGATAAAGGGTAAAAAAATTTAAATATTGTTTTTTTAATAAATATTTACGAAAACATAGTCATTTTAAATGTAAATACAAATCTATAACACTCAAACATGCCCTACTGAGGAAGTGACCGGTTAGAGAGAGACACTCCCTACAGAAGCGTGTTTGATGAGACAAACACTTCCCACAAGGAGCGTGACTCACCAAGTGCTAACACGTAGCACAAAAAGTCAACAGTTTGACTGTAAAACTTTGGAAGTCTATAACTTTCAACTCGGATGTCCGAATTAGTTAAAAAAAATTGATTCTAGACAATTTTGCTAGATATATGCAATAACACCACATTTGGCATATTTTGTCTCTTACAAAAAAAGTTCAAATTTACAACAATGATACTATAAGAACGTTTAAACTCATATTAATAAAGAGAAAACCACTCTCATGATTAGCAACATTCCTAATAAAGATCCTTATCATTATGGTATCATCGTGTTACTTATTGAAAAAGTTTGAATTCGCAAAAAAAAAAATTACCTAATTCGAACACACGAGTCAAAAGTGATGGGCTTTCAAGGTTTTAGGAGAGAGACACGCCCCCACAAGGGGCGTAACTCACCAGGTGTTAACACGTGGCACAAAAGTCAACGTTTTGGTAGTTTATAACTTTTGATTCGCTTGTCCAAATTAGGTAATTTTTTTTATTTCACACAACTTTTCGAGGTCTATGCAATGAGATCTCATCAAAGGGGATTTGGTGAAAAAATTTCAAAATTTTGGATATTTTATCGTAAAACTTCGGAAGGCCATAACTTTGGCTTCGGGTGCCTGAATCAGATTTTTTGTTGTTTATTCCGCATAACTTTTTGAGACGAACGTGTTGGCAAGTCCTAGAGGAGACTTCAGTCAAAAAAAAATTCAAAAAATGCTTCATTGTGCTCTGTTTTGCATATTTTATATCTGTGAGTGTGAACGATGTTATTTAAGTTGAAGTTTCTTCTCCCATAAATATAATTTTAATTTGCAACAATGGTACCATAATCATAAGGATCTTTACTGGGAATGTTTCTAATCATGACAATGGTTTTCTCTTTATTAATTTGGGTTTAAATGTTCTTATAGTATTATTGTTGTAAATTTAAACTTTTTTGTGAAAGACAAAATATGCCAAATGAGGTGTCATAAAGTTGTGTGAAATCAAAAAAATTACCTAATTCAGACATTTGAGTCAAAAGTTATGGACTTTCAAAGTTTTATAGTCAAATTGTTGATTTTTGTGCCACGTGTCAGCACCCGAAGAGTCACGCCCTTTCTGAGGAGTGTCTCTCTTATCAAACACGCCCCTATGAGGAGTGTCTCTCTCCAACCGGTAATGCATTTTGTAGAACGTGTTTGAATGCTATAAATTTGTTTTTACATTTAAAATTAGGGGTGTTCGCGGTCTGGATTGGATCAGTTTTAAAAGCAAAAATCATCTGATCCAATCCTTTCGGTTTGATTATGTAATTATCCATTCGATTTTAATTTTTTTTCAAATCCAATTCAATCCAATCCAATTTTTTTCGGTTTGAATTGGATCGATTTTCGGTTTTTTAAAAATCCTAAAATGTGTTGCATGATTATTGTGAAAATAATATCTATATATTGGCTTTGTAAAAAAAAAATTGAAATACAAAAACGATAATATGATTTTTTTTTGGCAATGAAATACGGAGCTCTACAAAGATGAATTCATCTTGTTGATGAGATGTGACTAAGTTTTTTCTTGTGTTTAGTTGATGGGTTAATGGGTTTTAGGTTTAGAAATTTTTGGGCTATGATTGGAGAAAAGCACAAGTAGGTAGAGGGAAATTATTATATTGGATCGGTTTTGATTGGATCGATTTTCATCAACCAATTCAAAAATCGATCCAATCCAATCAAAATTTGTGATTTTTTTTTTGTTTTCAATTTTTCAGTTTTCGATTTTTTCGGTTATCGATTTTTTCGGTTATCGGTTTTTCGGTTCGGTCACCGCAATTTGAATCGGTTGATGAACACCTCTATTTAAAATAACTATATTTTCGTAAATACTTATTAAAAAAATATTTAAATTTTTTTACCTCAGTCCCAATTGTTGAAATGAAAATGTTTGACATTACTTAGATTTTAACACGTGTATTGCATACAGAAGCGAAACTGTAGATTTTATGAGCTGAAAATATTTACTAGTTAGATATTCGGTAAGATCTTGAAAATTATATACATAATTTTTAATAAATTCATAAGTAAAAATCATGTTAACTCGTGCAATAAAAAAATAATTTAAAATAATGTTACTTTTTTTTTCTTTTAAAGATTTTCCTAAGTGTTGATTTAGAAATTTTTAAATGTTATGAGCTCTCGTACTTTTTTAAATTTATATTAAAGCATATGGGTATATTTCTTATTTCCAGTTAATTTTTTATTTATGTTAATTCTTTCGACCCTGTTATCAAATTTGAATTGGTTATTGATTTTTTCGAAGCATTGAGTTAACAAGTCATTGATTTAGTGCGTTACTGGTTCGGTCACTAGAATTAAAAATATAAAATAAGTCTTTGTTTTTTTGTCCATATAAATAAATTATCTATATTGAGCTCAAACAAAATGATATCGTTTTGGGCAAAAATTAATATATTTTTGTAATTATAAATTATGTTAAGGTTATAATAATCTTTTTTACTATGATTTTTTAATTTTTTAATTCAAAACAATATCTTTTTGAGATATGTAAATTACTTATATGTGGAACCAATGCATTCAATGTAAAAAATATGAAGGTTTAAGGATTTTGGTGATAACAAACAAGCATGGAAAGAAAGCTTCAACATGCAATAATCAAAAGAAGAAGATCAAGATTCAAGCTTCAAGAGAAGACTCTAAATCCAAATAACTCAAAGTAATATATCCTACGACTTAGGATTATTTAAAAGCGAAATTGATTTCTTAAGTGAACAAAGCTCAAAGCATTTTTTTGCAAATACATGCATTAAATCATCGTTTGACATTTAAATTCATTCCTAGCATGAAAATCTATTTTTAAATGTTTATCAAATGATTAAAAGTATTTGAAACTGATTTAAATCAAGAGAAAATTATTTTGGGGCGAAATACAATCTTTTAACATGTTGATAATCGATTATCCAAGCAATGGTAATCGATTACCCTTTAGAGTGTCTTTGGTACAAGAGAAACTTGTCCAACATTATGTAACACCCCGTGTATACTCGTATTGTTATCATATTAGAGTATTAAGCGCATCTCAATTAAATGCAGAAGCTAACTTTTTCTTTTCAATTATGACGTTATTATTATTAACCAAGTTGATTACTTAATCATTTTTCAAAACATTGCCTGTATGTAAATTACAATAAATAACTAACTGAAATACCTCATGTATAAATGTGTATCTAGTCACGTAACCACAACACATAGTCCGGACATAATCCTGATTCATTATACACCACGAGTCTAAATAAACAAACATAATCAATGTGGCATGGATAACTCTCATGTTCACCAAATAAACAACATACTCATCAAGTCTCAATACAATAGTCATAGCAGAAGAATCAAACATAATCATAAAAGGTAACTAAATCATCAAGCATGTACTAATCAGCTCAGCTCTGGCCTCCTACCGCCCAAGGTCTTAACCCCCGAGGTACTTGAACCTGAAAATGTGCGCCAAACGTAGAGTGAGATCTCTAAAAAGAAATCTCTGTAAAACAAGGGTCCTCAAGGATCTCTCCATCCCAAGCTCACTTACATGTGCAATATAAGTTCAAAAGCATATAATAATATAAGTTCCAAAAGCAGTGCAATGCAATATATAATCATGCCATGTGTGTCAAAATCCTACTGGCCAAAGAACATGTAGGAATTATTGTTAGCTATATATTATGTTTATTTTAATGGCTTTATTTTTACAATATTTGAGTTGAAGGATGGATATTAGTGCATGGTAATGGGTCAAATGAGTGCCAATCAGCCCAAAGGTAAAAAAAAAAAAGAGAAAGAGATAAACTGATGATTTACTACTCTCTTTTATTACTTTTACTGCAGTTTGGGACGCAAGATCAACTCTTTGAAATCAAGATCAAATCTGAACCATTGGATGGACATAGAGATGAATGGACAACAGTGCATTTGGAGGCAGCTTTATAATTTTTAGTTAAATAGGAGTCTGAGTCATTTTTTTAGGATCATATACCGTACTTTTAGTTTCAGTTTTACGTTTTAGAATTTTGCATTTTCTCTCTTCGAATCTGAGTGTTTGTCTTGAAAGCTGATGCATGTTCTTCAATTCTTGATCTCGAAGTGCATTGACAACGCAACTTCAAGGAAAGGAACCACGGATCTGCATACGAGCTCCTGTTTTCACATTTCTGATCTTTTTCTTCCTAGCTCTAGTTTAGGAACTTTGACTCTTGAAGAACCGGTTTGTAACTTTACTTTGAGTTTTCTTTCATGAATGTTTGTGATGCATGTTTCTTTACTTTTAGATTTGCAATATTTTTGAATATGGGTTTCTGATCTTTTCCTTTCTGGGATTCACGATGATTGGGTGATCTTTTATTTTTCTGAATACTGTGATGGCTTGCTTAGGTTTCATTTGATTAACAAGATTTTGATTTTAAGTTCAAGAACACCATGGGAATGGGTCTTGAATAATTTTAGCATAGCTATGATTGGGAAATCAG